TGTAATCTGAGCATGTGAATAACCTTGTTGCTCACTGCAAATCAGGATGATAGTGACGGGGGAGAAATGAACAGGACCACCAGTTCATTCTCACATATAGCAATTATAACACACTTTAAAATATTTTCTTGAAGCAACATACTGGAAAATTGTGGCATTTGTCATCTCTGTTTCTTTCAGAGCCACTATAAACCAGGACTGCCGCTCTTTTTTTCCTGTTTGGCAGAAAGAAACTAGATATTCAGTCCTCCAAAACTACATAAAAATCACCTCTTTACAAATTACACCTGACGTAAAGTGGCATCTCTCTTTATTGAGCTATATAATAATAAATTTTTTTCTTATGTGTAGCGCAAATGCAAGATTCTCAGTATTTGACTTTTTAGTAGACTTGGCACTAGCAAGGCTGCTGCTTCTAGATACATAATTAGAAGTGATTCACTATTTTGTGCCTCAGCTTGCCTGTACCTAACATGAAGAGCAAGATCCCTCTCTTGTTGCAAACCACTGAGGTCTCCCAATTAAAGAAGAATTCCTCTGGAATACCTTTTCACTGTTGTTGCTTAGGCATACATACTGTGGCTCCTGAGGCAAGTCAGTAGCCATTGCAAACTGATCCATATTCCTTCCCATGAAAGTTAAAAGTGTAGCTATGGCATGAGATTCTCCAATTAGAGAACCACAAAGAACTGCACAAGGATGTGCCTGCAGAAGTGCTAGTGGAGGCACGGCTGGGAACGTCACACTCAGGACTCCTCTGGACTGTGGCAATAGTTCTACTCTCTGGATGCTCCCGTAGTAACTAGATGAGAAATACAGAAATGTCATCTTTAAGAATGTCATCTTTTCTCCTGGACTCTTTAAAGCTCATTCCCATGCCAGTTGTAAAATACCACAAATGTTCAGGATAAACAATGCAACATGGAACTTAATAATGACAGAAACAAGCCAGCCTTTGCTGGCTTTCAACACACTTTCAACGCTAGGCAAATTCAAGTAAAAATACCATGATAGCACAAATCCACATTTTCCTCTCCAAGTCTGATCTTAGCCTGAGACACCATCAGCCTGAAAAATTCTCTTTTTTTAACTGCAGAGCAAGTGATGTACCAAGAATTATAAAACTAGGTTCGGGGTTTTGTGACACTCAAGTTACAAAATGCTTCCATGCTGGGTAATACCATTCAGAAAGGGATCCAGTAAGAGCCTAATCTCGGTCCCTCTGGAGTTTGCAGCAAAACTTAGGCAAAAAAAGAGAATGAAACCTAAATTTGACACCGATGTTAAAACTGATGGACTCCTTTCTATAACCTGTCAAGTCAGTGATAGGTTGTTTGTACCTTTGATTGTTACAGGGAAATTACCAGATCAGAATTCTGAATCCTTGTAATAAATGAACTTTTAAAAATGTAATACTTGCTTCTCAAACACTGTGTCATATGTTTTGTCAGGCTAGTGTAACACAAAAGGTTGTGATGTATACATTAAAATTTAAATGCACTCTCTGGAAGTGACATGAAATGTGCAGCCTTTCCATTGTTTTTACACAAGAAAATTAACTCATTACTTCTATCTCAAGACTCAACCTCCAAAGTATCTCAACAGCAATGTTTTTTATCTTCTGAAAACTGCTGCACATGAAATGTTTTTTTGCAGATTTCCACTGAAGGAAAAGAAGAGTTGAAAAAAAAAGACTGATATTGGCAAAAACTTTTCTCCCCAGTGCATTGGCATGTTCACTTATCCACACATATTCAAAGCTCACCGAAACATCCTTCCTCTTTCGAGCAAAAAACATCCTCCTGATTTTTTGGTTTAAGCAGAAGAAAACACATGGTGGAAGGTGCACACACTCTATGAAAGGAGAAAGCCACTGAGCCAGAAAACAATTCTAAAATGTGTACAGGGATACAACAGTTAAATCTCAAAGCTGCTGAGAAATTGCTTGGACGCTATGAGCAAAAAGTGTGGTTCCAGAGTATAATCCTAGTGATACACTATGTTCTTTGCAAAAGGTTGTGAGGCCTTGGCCTAATAAGCATAATCTCATTACACTGCAAATAAAAGTTTCCTATTTATCTCCAGATTTCAAATGAATCTAATAAGGCTTATGATACAGTCACCCAATACCCTAATCATATTTCTGCCTATCTAAAAGCAATCAGTAATTGTGTTATAGCAGAACGTGCTGACAATACCTCTGACACAGAAAGGAGAATGAGAGCCCAGCTGTACTAATTAAATTAAATGCTAGGCTGATGGAATACATTTGCTGAAGCTTGGAGAGTATGGGTGCAGAATTAATAAGCATTACAGCTTAGAGCAGGAGATGATATCATAATGGATGCAAGGTTTTGATGTGGAGAGCCTCATTCAGATTCAATGTACCATAATGTACGGATGTGACAGCTGCTTAGAGAGGTGCAGAACCTTGAACAAAGTGCACAGGAACTTTCTCTCCCCCCCCTCCTTCTTTTTTCCCCTCCTCTTCCCCCTCCCCCATCTTTTTTGTTACTTGCTTGAGAACTGTATTTTTATATTATCTGTGAGCTAAAAACAATACTGTTGTGGCCCACAGTTTATTATTTATTGAAATCCTACTGGTTTGCACAGTGGCTTATTTTCTTCCGATCTCCTCCAGTCTGCCGTTTTAAACTTACCGTCCCTGCAAATGAGAGAAAAGCCCTTCGAAAAACATTTTATAACGCAGTATGTGTATGGTTAATCATAATTTCGTCTCTCTTCCCTTATTTTTAACGGCACAAACGCCGAGTGCAGGGGAAATCCACTCCTTGCCGGAGTGCAATGGCAACGAAAATCCAAACGCAGACCACTCCTGTCACTGCGGCCAAGCCGCTGCAGGGAGGGCTGGGGAAGGAGCAGGAGCCCAGGGAGCGGAGCCAGAGCCGCCTCCCCGGCCCAGAGCCGCGGGCCCGCCGCGCTCCCGCCCGGCCCGTGCCAGCGCAGCACAATCTCCCGCTCACAAATGGTGCCGGGAGCGCCGGGCCGGGCTGCTCCGCCAGCTCCGCCGGCCGGGGCTCATTACCATGAGAATTTTGACAGGATATTAGATTTACTAATCCTGAACTTCCCGGGCTGACCCCTCATTCGCGAGCAGACAATGCCGGTGTCTGCCGGCCCTGCCCTCAGCACGATTCACCCCCCGCCCCCGGCACACGCACAACCCACACACGGACACCACCGGCCCGGGGCTCCTGTGGCCGCCGCCGCCCCTCCCTGCCCTGCAGCCTCCCGGCGCTCCCCGGGCCATGTGTGCCCTCGGCCGGGCCGAGGCGCGGAGCTGCTGCTTCCATGGGGAAGCCGAGCCCCGTGCGGGACTGACCGCAGCCCGCTGGAGGGGCTGCCCGCTCCAGCTCTCCCCGCCGGCCTCCCTCCCCCCCAAAACCGGCCCCTCCTGAAAACACAGTGCCTATTAAGTTGCTGAAAACAGCAGATTTCCACTGATACTATACAGATAGAGCTGACCATTAAATCGCAATTTTACATCCCCAGGCAGCAGTGGCTGCTGACAACCTCTAAAGCTTGTAATCCCATTTAACCCCCTCCTGTCATGAGCAGGCCCACCCTTTTGGAATAATGCAGGCCAAATTAAACCTGACACGGCAACAAGAGAAATAAAACCCCCTTTAGCTTAAAAGTCATGCCACAGTGGGTAACCCTGACCTTCAGCTTTCCCGCTCCCTTCTCTAGGGAGCTCCCCCCCGCCGCTGGCGTTGACAGAGGCGGGAGTGGGGAATTGCAAGGCGGCTGGATGGCCCTGGGGACAAATTAAAGGGAATTTTTGCTAGACAATAGAAGGAAATTTCACCTGAGGAGTTTTCTTTCCTTCCCCCTTTTAAAAAAGTCTTTCTATAGTAATAAAAAATAAGCCCTGATCACTCCTTGCCAAGTGCTTGCTGCCTGACCTGACCGCCAAAGGCCATCCCTGCTGGAGCGGTCCCAGCCTGTTTTACAGCCTCCCTGCCTCGGAAAGGAACCTCAGCTTTTCACAGCCCATGGCTGGCATTTAGTGCGCATTTCAGAAGGAAGCTGACCACTTCTAAGGTCCTTTAAAACAACTCTCCCCCCCCATCCCCCATAAAAAGAAAAAAAAAATAGTTCCCTTCCTAGCTCAGACTCCTGCTTGTAAGTTGTCTGCTTTGTTAGGAGAGGAGGGGAAAGGCACTGGCAGAGTGAGACTGGTCCTGCATTATTCACACACAGCTCCAGTCCAGGAGTACAGGAAGAGCTTTCAGACCTAACTCAGGCAACATTGTGTTCATTACTCTGGTCTCATTTAGGAAAATAATACTGGTTTTTTGACAGTATTTTCGAGAATACTGAACTATACAGACAAGCGTCTATAAACAGCGTACATCCCCACCACTGCACCAGCGCTTGCAAATGTGGAAGATGACCTTTCATGCTTAATCTACACACAAGCAGACCACAACAAGTTGCTCCCCAGTTCTCCTCTCTGTTTACTGTCTGCTGAAGAAAAGAGCCAAAAGTCAGAAAGCACCTTGAAGCAGGTAAAGGCCACATTGCCGCTCTATCTGCATTTTCTTATTTCTCTTTTTTACGAGAGGCACGGTGGGAATACAGTTATATAGCCAAATTATAAACAACACATTTTTCTACCTGTCCATCTGTCTGTCTACAAATACACACCCATAATCAACACAACCTGCCCTTGCCATCCAACACACTTTTCTCAGCACTCCCCCACCTGCCCTTATTTCTGTATGCTGAAGAGCATGCGAACAAACGTCTTCTAAAGCAGAGCTATGCCTGCAGCAGGAGAGGTAAATCCCCGGATCGAGTGCAAAGTTTGCTGCGGAAGTTTGCGAGGTGCGTACAGCAAGCCTCTGCAAGGGACCCTGTCTGTACCACACCACTTTGCCCACAACTCACCGAGTCACTCTCCCAGAGACCCCACAGCAGGAATGAACTTGCAGCACTTCTAAACTGGAGCACTAAAAAAATATCAGGCTCATTACCTGGACACATGGCTTCTCATTACTTCATTGCTTCAGATGCCACATCCCTTGATGCTGCAGATCGGCTCAAAAATTTGAAGTACTCCTTCCTTTTTTTCCCCCTTTCCCTTTTTCTTTCTTTCGTTCATTCTTTAAAAAAAAGTAAAAACCAACAAAAAAAGGATGCTTGACTAAAGTTAGCTTAAATTTGTTAAGAATAAAACTGGTATAAATGTTTATTTCGACTTCCTCGTGCAGCAGTGTACCGAAGCCCAGCCCGCCCAAGCCTCTTTAGCAATGGAGTGGTTTATTTAATTTGTCAGTATAATAGAAGCAGCTGAGTGAGAGACAGAGAATGCAGTGTGGTATAAAAGAAACAAAGGCTAAAAGTACCACTATTTTGATTCCCTTTTTAAAATTACTTCCAAAGTGTGGTATCTATTGTGAAGAATAATGCTGAACAAAGCACAGTGTCTTGGCAATATTCACAGAGCTCATTCACAGAGCCAGTTCTGTCTGTACATTCAGAGGTAGAATACACTTATAAATGATGCATTGGAAGGACTATAGTTCCTATTGTATTCCCAGTGTAAACAAAAAGACAGACAGAAGCTGAATGGCATATGGGCAGCAGGGCAACACTTTATTCAACCATTCCAGCACCATTGTGAAGGTAAAATGGGAGTTCTCTCTTCAAATCCAGTGAACACATTTTGGGTTAGGCTAACAATTTATATATATAAAACACAGATCTGGTTGTACTTTTGTATACTCCTGTGGAAAAGTGATCTTTAAAGCAATCTAAAACAGGGATTGCTGTCAAGTTTTGGAGGTCATTCCCAATAGGATTATGTAGCCTCTGGAGAAGACTGTCTGAAAGAGGGTCTCTGTGGTGGCTGTGGAGGTGGGGGCTTGATGCACAGAGCCAAAATGGCTTAAAACAGCAGTAGCAAAAGCTGACAAGGAGGCCGAGGTGCTCAGGATCTGACCTACCTGGAAAAAGATAAGCTATTGGGAGGGGCATTCTTTGTATAGAATGGAGTCTATCCTTCTTTTCCCACCATTGTGCCTTGTTTTCTAGGCAGCAAAGACTGTCTGATCCTGCAAAAGGAGATTGGAAATTGGAAACTTTGCCAGATGATCATAAATTGCCTTTACTAAGTCAGGCATTGTCCCTGCTGAACAGTTTATGGTCAGAGAAAGCCTCTTCACTTTGTCTGAGGGGAAGAAAAAATCACTCCTGTGGAGGAAATATTAAAATCAGATGTGTCCTTTCTGCCCTTGCTGTGTCAGTTGATGCCAGGAAGTTTTATGATCACTAGCTCCTCTCCCTCCCTTTGTATTTTCTGCTGTCACATAAAGGCTCACGTGCTGAAACTACTCACAGGATCCAGTCTTTCTGATTCATGCAGGCAATGCCTGTGTCTGTGTGATACAGCATATCTGCTGCACATCACACTCCTTGGGTGCATTTGGAGGGATTTGCATGAGTAGGGCAAAGGGACCAGTCTGCCTTTGCCTTTTTTTTTTTTTTTTTTGTGTGTTGGTCCTGTTGCATTTGCTTGTTGCTCACCATGGGTGATCACTGGTTCCAGCAACCAGATTAGGAATTGCATATTTGGTTTTGTCTGATGGCAGTTTTGTGCTCAGTACAGCTGGGGCCAGGCAGGATTTCACACCTGTTTGAAGTCACTGGTATTCTCCAGTAGTGTCCTTTGGGAGCTGAGGGAGGGTTCCAGCTGGTTTGGCAACCATCTGGAGATGAGTCTGCCTGACCTGTTTCGGAATTAAAAAGTCTGGCAGAATGTGCTTTCTGATGATGTGATGGAGATTTTGCAAGTTTCTGCCTTAGATAAGTCACTGTCTTATCAAGATCTAACACGATCATATAAATACAAAAAGGCTTCCAATGAGGATTACTCAGCTTGATCCCTAAAGCTGAGTGCAAGCCTCTCTTTATGAGTATTTATAGTCTTAAATTAAAATGGAATCTGGAAAGTCTGTGTCCCTGAGCACTTTCTTAAATTCTTTGATTCTATTCACAAGAAAACAGTACTTGGATTAAAGTATGTTTGATGTTTCCAGGAAAGAATTCCAACAAATACTATGTTTTCACTGAGAGCTGCTGTCTGCCAGAACTGATGCCAAGAAACCCAAAATACTTTGGTGACTGTTCTTAGATGTCTGCCTTGATTACAGGTGTTTGTGTCCTCCCACTGGGGTTTTTCTCCATGAGGGTCAGGTTAGCAACAGTTGAAGCTGTTAGAAAGAGTTTGCAGCTGATGTAGTACCATGGTCAGAGCTTGAGCCAAAGTCTGTCAGTGCACTTCATGAACCCCCTTGCTCACACCAGGTCCTACGCAGAGCCCTAGGCAGAGTAGGTAGTGGCATTGCATGTGGCTGGTGGAGTGGGAAAAAAACAAAGGATGTGCCAAAACAACCCAAAAAGGGTGAAGGGTGAGTGATCAAAAAAAAAGAGCTTGGAATTTGAAGAAGACCTGGATAGACTCACTACCACTCAGAACGTATGTTCTCTTGCCATCTTGATGGAAATAACATAGTTCTGTGCTGTAAATTAGAAATGCAGACGGACAAATTTAGTCTATTAGAAATTTACTTTAAGTGGCCTTTAAAAACACAGAGCAATGACATATGTGTGGAGATTCACAATTTTTTGAGTGTTCTTTACTCAGTGCCTCAGGCAGGCAAACATACTTCCATTCCAGAGTGTTGTGGTTTAACACCAGTTGGCAACTAAGTACCATGCAGCCTCTTGTTTACTGCTCCCCCTGCAGTGGGATGGGAGGGAGACAATTGGAACAAACATAAAATTGATAGGTTGAGATAAAAACAGCTTAAAATTTGAAATGTAGTAAAATATGCTACTATTAGTACTACTGTTAATTGTAATGAAAAGCAAGATAAAAAAGAGAGAGGAATAGAACTCCAGACAAACAAGTGATGCACTATAAAATTGCTTACAACCCCACTGACTGATGCCCAGCCTGTTTTCAACCAGGGATCAGTGACTCCCAGCCAGTTAAGCCCCGTTTATGTACTGAGCTTGGCATTCTGTGGTATGGAATATCCCTTTGGCCAGGTCAGGTCAGCTGTCCTGGCTATGCTCCCTCCTGGCTTCTTGTGCAGCTCCTCAGTGGCAGAGCACAGGAAACTGAAAACTACTTAGAAACAACCAAAACATCAGCATGTTATCAACATCATTCTTGTGCTAAATCCAAAACAAAGCACTGTAACAGATACCAGGATGAAAATTAACTCCATCCCAGTTGAAACTGGGAGATTATTAAAGATGAACAGTTGCCAACTGGACACGACAAAACGAGGGCCAAAAAGTTATTGCTGGAGACCTGGGTGTGTCTTAGAAGCCATAGAAGTTGGAGAGGTAACACAGGCTTGTCAGACACTTATCACAGTCAGTGATGAAAAATTGAATTTCAAAATAAGACAGCCTTTGCCAATATTTTCAAAATCTGTCACCCCTAGATATTCAGAAAAGGCTGAAGGGACCTCTGCACATTTCTGCACACTAGAAGAAATAAGTATGAGCTAAGTATTTATACAAATATGTTATTTTTATTTGGCATGTCAGTATATATTTTTTCTGTGGCTATGGTATGAAAATGAAAAATAGTCTCTTTTTCAGTCACTTATGACTGCAGGATTCCAATGCAGATATAGTCATCACTATTATAGCTTAAAGTATTGGAAGTAAAGATGAAACCAACTCACAATATCTAAAAATTGTCATTGGAAATAGGTACTATTTGGTGTACTGGAAAGAAGAATGAAAATTTGTGTTGTTTATTTTGGACCACCATAGATTCCTGTTAAGGTATAAGGAATTAACTATAACCTGGTACAGAGGAAAAAATGTCTAATCAGCTACTACATCACTACCACTCAATGCGTTCTGAAAAACAACATTCTTTCTATGACTTTCTAGCACTTAAATTCTTCAAGATATAAGTGAAAACACATAGCAGTTGTTCTTTTAGGAAGAAAAATTTGTGCTGAGAACAGGCAATAGATTTTAGATGCTGAATTTCAGTGACTGCCCTGTCAAACTGAACATCTTATTAGGGTACTGGTGGAAGTGTAATGTTTGGAGGGAATATTAGAGGAAGACATTTCATGGTGAAGATTGTAATGCTGTATAGGTAACATGGTTTTTAGAAGTTTGTTTGTTGGAGAACAGAAACAAAAACTCCTACTTTGTATGTTCTATTGAAACCAAAATAATTTAATTCAAATTTTAGCTACTTTCTATCTACAAAAAGACCAAGAAAAATTTAGAGAAATAATTTTTTGGAGAAATTGCATGGGGATTACTTTTGAATTACAAATACATTCAAGAAAATTATAAGATGATTGAAAATAATTCATTAATAGATAAAGACTGAAATAATTTAATACATTATTCATGATATATTATTCTCTCAGCTCCCTTGTTGATGACCTTCTGGTTATGTTTCTTTAACAGTGCTAGTGGAAACTATTCTTTATAAATGAATATCCAGAATTCTTGACATAGCTGAAATAATAAAATGTGGACATCATTGTACAGAAAAATTATATTTTATCTTTTGCCAGTGATTATAAAACTTCTTGCATCATGTCAAAATGGTATTATTTCTGATTTATATCAGTGTAACTAAGCTTAGAAAAGTGTCTTTTCACCTCAGAGGCGATACAGCTTCCGCTTGTTTTCCTTTGTAAATTTGTACTTCATGAACAATTTCCTCAAACACTATTCTAAGTAAGCATTTAATGGTCTAATGGCATTTCATTCAGTATAGTTTTCATCAGCACGCAGGTGAAGGCACTGTGCACACTGTGGGAACAGGAAATGAGTGGTTTCAGGAGGAGTGGCTGGGTGAAAGCCTGGCTTCCTATGGATTCCTAGAGCACCATGCTGTAAGGAGTCTTCTTTTCCTTCCTGTGTCCTTTGACTTCCCCTCCCCAGTGGTCTTAGCTGCTCCCTAGGTCCTCAAGGAATATCCTCTTGTCTGCATGCAGTTCTTCTCCACTAACTCACTTTTACTATATATTGACCTCCCTCCAGCATTTCTTAAAGTGCTAGACAACATCCCAGATTTTTTAAGGTCCCTGATAAATCTTCTACAGATCGCCAATTTCCTCAGTTCCCTCTTCTGTCTCCAGCTACCAGCTGAAAAAGAGGCAGCATGTTGTGTGGGTGATTCTGTGCTGCATCTGTGCTTATTAACTTCACGGTGTTTATTTACTGCTTTCTGAAG